AACCATCGACGGAATTTCACATATTTGATGCACACGATATATATGTCCGATTCCCTTGAAATTCGGAAAAGCGGCGGAATTTGGTACAAAAATAAATATGCATATAAAACTTCCATATAAATTTGCTGAATTATATTGTTACCGGCTCAGATTTGGATATATCTCCCGATTTAACATATTTGATGCACCAAACACCACATGTAGTCCGATTCCAATGAATTCCTGAATAAGTGACAAAACTTGGTACAAAAATAAATTTCCCAATTTTTTTCAAATTTGGATATTGCCCCCACATATATTTTCCGATTTCGTGAATTTGATGCACCAAACACGCTATGTGTCTCTAATTACAATGAAATTCGGAATATGTAATTGAATTTTGCTCAAAACTAAATTTACCAAATAATATTGAAATCGGTGGAGATTTGGCTATGATTTTATTAAGAAACATAGACCCACCACGCCTTTGGAATGGTATTAGGCTAAGAGTGAAAAGACTATGCAACAAGTTAATGGAGGCTACGATAATTTCAGGGAAGTATGCAGATTCAGTTGTATTGCTCCATCCAATAACTCTGATAGCAACAGAAATGCCGTTTAAAAAATACATTTGACAATTGACATGGCAATTAATAAATCTCAAGGACAAACGCTTCGTGTATGCGGACTAAATTTGGCATGCTCCTATTTTTCTAAACGGTCAGCTGTACCTGGCATGTTCACACGTTGGTAGACCAAGCGATTTTTTAACCCGGTACGTTCAAAAGAAAGTGGAAATATCTATACACTTTTTTCTCTGAATATCATATAGAGAGAATGCAATTATTGATATTATCTAAACTCCGTACATCTTAATATTTATTTCAAATATGGATCAGGTGCATAACCATCCATATTACAGAATAAATGGGAGTTTCCATTCACAAAATAAAATTTCGTGAGAATTCCCATTCAAATCGATTTGCTATAACTAAATTATGGGAACAAATAAAATCAGCATTTTTCAATAAAAAAAACCAGTAAAGAAAGTCATAAAGTCGGGCGGGACCGACTTTATGATACCGTACACCACTTTGCTAATTTAGTAGAGCTCGGCATAACAATTAAAAGTTATTATGGGAGAATTCAATCATACACGTTATGATTATAATTATAATTTTAAGTTCAAAGGACTAAATATGCCGAAGAATCTCCTAAATTCGGACTTGTATTGCCCATTTGGTGCACAATTAATTTGAAATCGGATAAAGATATATACGTGGCTATAGCCAAATCGGAACCGATCACAATTAATATTTGCAAACATATTTCTGAGTTGTATTTGATATATTTCCCTGTTTATCGTTGCTACGGAGTGCATATTACGGCTGTGGGTAACAAATATAACAAATAGGATGAACAGTATATATGGGAGCTATAGATATATCTGAACCGATCTTTCCTAAATTTGGCATACTAGCTTCTAGACTAATTCGGTCGTAGGTGCCAAATTCCATCCCATTTGGACAAATATTAGACGTTTGGTGCACAATAAAAGAAAAATCGGACGAAGTTATATATGGGAGATATATCCGAATCTGAACCGATCTCGATAAAATTTAGCAAATGTATTTCTGAGCTGTATTTGATATATTTCCCCGAATATAGTTGTTACAGAGTGCTGCGGAGGACAAAAATAACAAATCGGATGAACAATATATATGGGAGCTATTGCTATATCTGAACCGATTTCGATCAATTTTGGCATACTTATTTTCAGGCCTAATTTGATGATATTACACGCTTGGTGCACAATAAAAGGCAAATCGGACGAAGATATATATGGGAGCTATATCTAAATTTTTACAGATTATCTCCAATTTCAATAGGGTTCGTCCTTGGGCCAAACAAATGTTGTTTGGAAAATTTCATCTCAATCGGATAATAAATGCGACCTGAATTTTGTTGACAAGAATAAATGGACAGACGGACGGACGAACGGACAGACGGACTGACATGAATAAATCAACTCAGAAAGTGATTCTATGGAGATCCTCAATAGTAGCTATGGGACTATCTTGCTTCCTTCTCCATGTTACAAACAAATGCACAAAGACATGGTGTAGGTGTAGGGTATAAATATCCCTTGCAATTTCAAAGGGAAACAAGTTAAAAAGCAGTAAGTTCGGCCGGGCCGAACTTTGAATACCCTCCACCATTTGGAACGAATTTCGAAATTTTCAAATAATAAAATCCTTAAAAAATTCTGTTAAAATTTTAAGAATACCAAATATAGCCGTTATATTGGGGTCTATACGACGTGGACCTACATAGGCCTTGTTTGTTGTAAGCCATTACCATATTCAAATTCGAAACTTGAAATAAACGGTGAATAATATAGCTAAAATCATCAAAATATGGTATATAGGGAGGTATCGTTATATCGGAGCTATGCGAAGACCTGGACGTGCATAGAAAATTTTCTGTCACAGGCTGTAGCATAAATTACAAACGTCAAATACGACATCTCAAACAATTTCGGTGGGTATTGTACCTAAAATCGTCAAAATAGCGAATATAGTGAGGTACTGATATATGAGGACTTACAAACAAAATGACAAAGTTAATATACCCACCATAGTATAAAGGAGGGTATTCACATTCGAACATTTGGGGAAAACAGAATTTGTTGAAGTATTTTTTGTTTAGTTAATTGGGTCGTTTCCACGCACATTTCGAGAAAGAAAAAGAAAAGAAAGAAGTTAAGGTTTCAAAAGATGTTAAATTTGTAGAAAGAGAAAATGGCCAATTAACCAAAGATTCGCCAAACACGGAAGATAATTTAGAAATTAATTCAAATTCTGACAGTGATTTTGAAGATGCTGTATCAGAAAGTAACAACAGACAAGAATCGGAATAAGCGATTTGCAGTTTTAGAAAATTAAGAAACGGAAAAATATTTATTTCAAATGCCACTCATGAAGAATTGGCTATGCTATCCCAGGAGTTTGTTAAAAGCACAGAAATTCCAATCTCTTATTTTGAAGCTACTAAAGGAGACCAACGATCACAATGGTTAGCTGCAATGAAAATGGAAATGAGTTCTTTGGTCGAAAACAGAACTTGGGAACTTACTGAACTTCCTAAGGGAGCTAAAGCTCTCCCATCAAAATGGGTTTACAAAGTAGAAACAAAAGCGGATGGCAGTGTGGACAGGTACAGGGTTGCCCATATTCGACGGACCCATCTGGCAACGCCATAACTTTTGACAGAGATGTCACATCGCTTAAGCAGATTTTTACCATGAACCATGGTAGAAGAATATAGGTACCCGCTTCGACACAGCTGCTGGGACAATGAACTGTCAAACCAATTTTGGAATCGAAATTTTTGAATGAAAAATTACTCAAATTTGTAAAAATTATTAAAAAATGAATATTATAACAACCTCCGATTGGCGTTGTGTGGTAAAACATAGACAAATGTACTTATTTTTGCAGAAATATTTAAACAATTTTGACACATCAATGTTCCCAAGCGTTGATGCATCTACCTGTATTTTTCTACCATGCCATGAACCAATACACGCCACGCGAGCGCTCTGAAATAGTTGAAATTTACATTCAACAGAAGAAGTCAATTGTGAAAACTCAACGTGCTTTTAAAACATTAAAAAATGTGAGAAGTGCGCCTTCTAAGAACACCATTAAGCGTTTATACGAAAAATGTTCGACTGGTAAGGCTCTTTCTAATCCGAAGAGGCCATATAAAAGTCGACCAAGGCGATCGGCCGAGAATATCGCTGCCGTACGAGCCAGTGTTGAGAGGTCCCCAAGAACATTCCAAAAACGCCGTTCTCAGCAGTTGGGAAAGAAAGTAATTCTTGCTCTATATGTAGACGATGGTTTAATTGCTGTGTCCGAAGTTAACGACTTGAAGATCTTTCTAGATGAGCTTAAAACAGAATTTAAAATTACACACAATGATGCAAATTACTTTCTTGGTTTAGAAATTGCAAAGTCAGATGAATGTGTAAAAATAAGTCAGAAATCATATGCTAAGAAAATTCTGGAGAAATTTAAATTTTCGGAGTGTAGAGCAGTATCAACTCCAATGGAATGTATTGCATTCGTTGCTGATGTTCAAAAATCAACAATTGATTTTCACATATCGGCCAACAGTTGGAGCCATAATGTATTTAAGGTTAGGAACTAGACCGGATTTGGCATATAGTGTTGGTTTTTTTGTCAAGATCTCTTGAATCCCCCACAATTGGAGATGTACAAAGACTTAAGCGAGTTTTTCGTAACATTTCTGGCACACTTAAATATATCATTATTACAAATATTGAAACACAGCAACACCATTTGATACCATTTACAAATTACTACATAATATCAATAAAATCAAACTTTATTAAGTTGTCGTTTCTCTCAGAGGTATCCTTCTTGCATTTCGCCCTGAGCTGTTTACATTGAACCATTAAAATAGTATTATTAAATTGAAATCTATTTCTATGAGTTTCCGACTTTCGTAATTTGATATTGTTTTAAAAAATGTGAATAAGTTAACAGAAAAACTATTTTAAATATCAATACCGAATAAATATTTACTAGAGCGACTCACATATCGCTTTTATTATTATTTTTAAATTGTATTTATCGGCATTCTCAAAAAAATAATATTGGCTCTATGTAAAAGTTGTCATTAAATTTTCAAATTTAATCAATTTTACAAATGCAATGGAGTAAATGACTTGAACACCGGTCCATCGTCACTGTTATATCCCATAGCTATTCCCCTGAAATCGACCAATGTACATACAGGTTGTACATATTTAATTCAATAGGAAATTGTATGTTGCCTGCTGAGCAATTATTCGCTTTGAACAATCAACCACCTTCATCATCATCGCCATCGTCATCATCACACACTCTGCATGTGGATAGATGGATGCTGATGTTTTATGGTACAGATCCGAGAACCGTCTCTTCATATTCCACTATCTGCTATCTTTCCAGAATGACCGACTTATGATTGGACAATATGTTACCATGTTCGGTGACGTCATTAGTCACGTTAATATTTCTGCAGTCAAATCGGAAGATGGTGGCGACTACGAATGCAAAGCAATTTCTCGAGCAGGTGAAGCATCACACACTGCTCGACTGAATATTTATGGTAAGTTTGTTTTAAATTGATTACAAAAGCTGTCCATCCCTAGGAGAAATAGAGAGCAAGAAGAAAGAGAGAGGGAGAGAAGAATGTGGCACATGAAAAAGGTCCTTGTCACATATGTATGTGCCTGGTGGAAACAGAAGCATATGCAAATTCAGAATGATTATTCATTTCTCCTATACGAATGGGAGTTTAAGAGTTTGGTCTTTTGTTGTTTTCGATTTTCTCCGTTTTCTTAATTTTTTTTTCTAATTTAGGTATGCCCTATGTACGACCCATGCCCAAGTTGTCTGCTGTAGCTGGAAAATCGTTTTTCCTCAAATGTCCTGTGGCAGGATATCCCATCGATAGCATTATCATAGAAAAAGGTATGTATTCATCAGTCCAACCATGGAGCCGAGAAGAAAACCCTCGCCATGGCACACACATACACACGGATGTTTTCGTCATGTGCATATGCACGAGTTGGGACTGCATATTTCATAAATCAATTTCATTTATTTCACTTCCGCCCTTCTCGTTCCACACTCGTGCTGTCGCATCGCTTCCACATTGCCAACTCAATCTCCATTACACAACTAAATGAATGCAATAACCCATCATCCATTCTTGTTTGCATCATCAGATGGCGTCAAACTACCCACGAACATATGACAGCGTGTCCAAAATGGCACGTTGCTCATTGAGAACGTCCAACGAACAGCCGACCAGGGCACCTACACATGCATTGCTCGCAACAAGCACAACTACACGTCGCAGCGTTCAGTCGATGTCAAAGTCCTGGGTAAGTCCTGTTGCCTCAACGAGGGTATGTGTTATTCCATTTTTCATCTGGCCCAATGTAATTTGTTTCCATTAAGTACGCAGATATTGCACAAATATTGCAAAATGTAATATGATCCTCGTTTACATAGAGCGCACACACATGTACACACACACACACACACTAACAATCGCCCCACATGCCACGAGGACATTCGTTAATTTATGACCGGTTAGTTTCTCACATTTAAATTAGATTTAGAGACGACCACTTTAAATGTTTACTGATGCGTACGCTCAAGTATATTGGAATTTTATGGTCCTTATCGTCAGTGCATGCCAGCACAAAATGGAATAAATTAATTTTACGAAATTCCGAATAAAAATCATGGATTGGTCTGAAATAAGTTTTAAAAGTTTATGCTGAGAATACTGGTGATTTTTCACAGCAAATAAACATGTGATAATATTTTACACGATTTTTTAAACTCCACCATAGTATTGAGGGCTCGGCCGAACTTATTGCTTTTTTACTTTTTATACCCTATACCGCATAGTGGTAAGGGTATTATGTCTTTGTGCATTTGTTTGTAACAGGCAGAAGGAAGATCTGCATAGAATCACATTCTGAATCGATTTATGCATGTCCGTCCGTCTGTCCATGTATTTTTGTAAACAAAGTACAGTTCCAGATGAAATTTTGTACAAATCATTTGTTTGGCCCAAGAACAAACCCTATTGAAATTGGAGATAATCGGTCAAAATTTAGATATAGCTCTTCGTCCGATTTGCCTTTTATTGTGCACCAAACGTGTAATATCAGCCCGAATAGTATGGAATATAGCACATACAACCAAATTAGGCCTGAAAATAAGTATGCCAAATTTGATCGAAATCGGTTCAGATATAGCTATAGCTCCCATATATAATGGTCATCCGATTTGTTATTTTTGTCCTCCGCAGCCGTAGTATGCACTCTGTAAGAAATATATCAAATACAGCTCAGAAATACATTTGCTAAATTTTATCGAGATCGGTTCAGATTTGGATATAGCTCCCATATAAAACTTCGTCCGATTTTTCTTTTATTGTGCACCAAACGTTTAATATTTGTCCAAATGGGATGGAATTTGGAACTTACGACCGAATTGAGTCTAGAAGCCAGTTTGTCAAATTTGGTAAAGATCGGTTCAGATATAGCCATAGCTCCCATATATATTGTTCATCCGATTTATTGTATTTGTTACCCACAGCCGTAATATGCACTCCGTAACAACGATATTCAGAGAAATATATCAAATACAGCTCAGAAATATATTTGGTGTAGGGTATCATAAAGTCAGCCCCGCCCGACTTTATTTACTGGTTCGAATTAAAAAAGTTCATAAAATATATAAAATTCAGGTACGCTACGAATTTATAAGGTTTTCACCTCCCAATAAGTAAATTCTTCATAACAGCACACATTCTTAGATGCGTACAGTATTCAACAGGAGATCTAATCTATTATAGTGGGGTAGGATAGTGGGTATCCACTTATGAGAGTCTCACAGATAATATCCCAAAAACACTTGCGTCTCACACTGAAATTGGCAGATGTAAATTAATTACCATTGGGTGACTTAAAATTATTTCAAATTCACGCAAACAAAGTTTACAACTGTTCATTGGTATCAGACAAGGGAAATCCTTGATCTTTATAATTTTCGTCATTTTCTAATAATCTTGCGAATCAAATAGAATAGATTTCATGCTGTGTTAGAAAGTCCCATTAGTTACCAAAATCGAGTACATTTCACTGAGCGTTCCATCCAGTTCACCTTCTCTGGCTGTACCAGTTTGTGAATCTATTTCATAGTTCCCTATCTAGTTCAATAATTCACATCAAATGGTTCGCTGAGCTTGAAACGAACAACATGAAATTAACGATTAGTTAAGTTTGTGAAAGGACTCCTTTGGAATCATTTATATGGGGAGGCTATAGGATAACATGAACTATGATCAAAATACCGCATATGGGAATGTACCGTTTTATAGGGGCTATAGGAAAATGTGGTCCTTTATATATAATTTTCTGTCGCAGGAAAAGGATCCATTATCCATTGTTAAATTACCATTGTCAAATTACCGAATAATGGGAGGTGCAATTGGAAATTGACGATTTGTTGCACTGTAGATAGAACTCATTACGAACTCCAAACACCGAATTTGAAGCTAATTCGATAGAAACCAAAGTTAAAATCATGAAAATACCTAATAAAGGAAGGTACAATTATATGGCATGACACATACATACACATGGATGTTTTCATCATGTGCATATGCACGAGTTGGGAAACGGATTCATTATAAACTCCATTTACCGAGATTTAAGCTATTCCGCTAGAAACTGTGGATAAAATCGTCGAATTACCGTATAATGGGAGGTGCAATTGCAAATAGACGATGTATTGCACTGTAGATAGAAGTCATTACGAACTACAAACACCGAATTTTACTACTTCTACTTCGATAGAAACTAAGGCTAAAATCATGAAAATACAGAATATAGAGATTGTAGGAAAACAAAGACCTGTATGGGCAATGTTCTGCCATAGAAAATAGAATCTGTTATAAACTTCAAAAACGGAATTTAAGCTATTCCGCTAGAAACTGCGGCTAGAAATACCGAATATGGGACGATATCAAAACGTTGACCGATATAGCTCATCTTCGATTTTGACCTGCCTCCGGACAAAAGACAACTTTATGCAAAATATTATCTTTCTAACGCGGACGGACATGGCTATTTTGTTGTGTCTAAAATTAATATTTCGATGAGTTACAAACGGAATGACAAGCTTCATACTATGTGTGTTGGGAGTATAAAAACAAACGTTTCCTTAAACATATAACAATTTCTACGGCATCATTTAGTGCAGGAAATGGCGTAACTTTATAGTTTGATCACTGATCGTACTAAATTGACCGTCTAAGTTCTTAAGTTCATTTTAGTGAACCGTTCAATCGTGAAATATATAAATCTACTATTTACGCAAGTGGTGGGTATAAACTATTTTCAAGAAAATTTCGTGTTACATGTTTTATGCAATGTAGTGTTAATTTGCAAAATGTCATACTTTACTATGTAATAGGTCACATAAAGCCGACGTTTTTATTAAGCCCACAATTATAGACCAATTGACGGAATTTCGCATGGGGTTGGAGTTTAGGGCTGGGCAGAAGTCTACAAATTTATATGGTCATCGGATAATATTTAGAGGATGAAATGGAACAAAAAAAATATATAAAAATTTTCGTTAAACCGTGAATATTTTTGATCCTGGCGAAATCGCAAATACACGTTAGGATCGCTTCTGACCATTCATTGACCATTACATGGATGATGATATCCAAAATCTCTGATAAATAGCAAAATATGTACAATCTATATGTGTAAAGAAAGGGGTGTTAGTTATCACGCTTATAACTTTAGGACGGCTGGACCGATCTCGATCATTCTCACTAATTTAATATTTAATCTGGACAGAAAAGTAAAATATCTAAAAAAAACGCAAACAAATATTCAATAAAAAGTGAATACTTTTTGTTCATTTTGTGATATTATCAATTTGATTTTGTTACTATGTGTTAGGGTATTTCATACCGGTCGCACGTTTTGCATGGGGATAGGGTTATGGTCAGAATAGAAGACTATTGTTTTTAGATATGTTCGCAAAATACTTATGGGGTTCTAGAGGTAACAATTGAAGAACAATCGACATGGAATTTCAAATGATTTTGGAGATTTGGTCCGAGGAATGTGATAATGAGAAAATCCTATTCATTAAATCGACAATTACAATGACTTTTTAAAACCAGTAAGGAAAGCTCAAAAGTCGGGCGGGGCCGACTATATGATACCCTACACCACTATGCATATTTAGAAGAGCTCTCGTAAAAAGGTTTATACAGGGCATTTCAGAGCTCTATGAGATATTTGGTACAAAATGAAAATCTATCCAATTCTATCGTGCATTTTACGAACTATAGCTACCTCTGAACCGGGTTTCTCCAAATTTGACGTATTAGATTCTAGACTGAATTCGGTCTTATGTACGAAAATTCATGCCATTTGGGCTGATATTGGCCATTTGATGCACAATTAACACGAAATCGGATGAAGATATATATGGGAGCTATAGCTATATCTGAACCGATTTTTACTAAAATTGGTGTACTTGCTTCTAAGCTGGTTTCGGTCGGATTTGCCAAAATTGATGCTATTACGGCCATTTGGTGGTCAATCACCCGAAATCGGATGAAGATATATATGGGAGCTATATCCAAATCTGAACCGATTTCGGTAAAATTTAAAACAGCTATTTTTGTGCTCCATCTAATACCTGGTACCAAATATCACGGTTGTGGAGTGAATATTACGAATGTAAGGGACTAAAACACTAAATCGGATGAAACATATATATGGTTGCTATATCTATATCTGAACCGATTTTCACTAACTTTGATATACTTGCTTCTAGGCTGAATTTGTTCCGATGTACTAAAATTCAGTCCATTTGGACTTATATCGGCCATTTGGTGCACAATTAACCCGAAATCGGATGAAGATATATATGGGAGCTATATCCAAATCTGAACCGATTTCGATAAAATTACAAACAGCTATTTCTGGGCTGTATCTTTTATCTGGTACCAAATATCGTTCTTGTGGAGTGCATATTACGAATGTGAGAGGCTTTAACATCAAATCGGATAAAACATATATATGGGAGCTATAGCTGTTTCTGAACCGATTTTCTCCAAATTTTTTGTATTTGCTTTAAGGTTAATCTCAGTCACATGTGCAAAATTCGGGCCATTTGGGCTGATATTGGCCATTTGGTGGCCAATTAACCCGAAATCGGATGAAGATATGTATGGAAGCTATATCCAAATTTGAACCGATTTCGATAAAATGTAAAACAGCTATTTCTGTGCTCCATCTAATACCTGGTACCAAATATCACGGTTGTGGAGTGC